ATCGACATTGGTCTTTCGCGTGACTGACGTCATTTCCGCTGGCATCCATTTTAATATTTAAAATGATCAACGTTCTAATCATCGTCTAATAGAGAACGGTGTCGTGCACGGTGCAGTAAATGCTTTCTTTCTCAGGAACACCTGATGCCGATTATCTCACATCTCAGATATTGAGTGTTTGTTGTAATGGTGTACTTGAACTGATAGACGTTAAACTAAACACTTCTTTACGGTCGTTTGTAACGGAATTGGACCGTAGTAAGACGATGTGCTTGGCGATAAGTTATCTAAAACATATTTCTATTCACATCACTTGATTAGCAATCAGCACTCAACGAATCTCTTAATAGGCCAAACTGAACGTACTCTTTTAACCGTAATTATATTACAGTTCACAAACAGGTCAACACTTACAAAACAAAATGTAGAGTTCACCGTTGATTCGTTTGTTGGGGCTTAAATTCCACTTCAGTCGATGGCGATATCGCAGGTAAGTCTAGAAGATATTGGAAGTTTGTTTTTAGTGTCACGTGAACTTTGTGTTTGATTTGAGTAGAGCAGCGTCTGAATCATCCAAACGGTGCTCTGTACGCATGTCAGGTCCGCCTATGTAGGCCTTACATGTTTCAAATTAAAGCCATCTTAACCAAATCTGTACTTTTCCTCAGAGATGTAACTGTATGGTCCAATTGTAAAGCAAATTGATGGAATAAAGAATTCATATCCATTTGTCCTTCCCCGTACCTTCACAACATGGCGGGCGACACCCAAGAGCGCATAATCACGTTCATCTGCACATCAAATATCGCAATCTTAGTTTCAAAATAATGTGAAAGGCCGAACATAAATTCCAGCTTGACGACATAATCAGGAATCCCGGTCCGGCATCGTCAACAAACGTATACTGTTGGGTACGGCATCGTTAACAAACGTATACTGTCGGGTACGGTATCGTCAACAAACGTATACTGTCGGGTACGGCATCGTCAACAAACGTATACCGTCGGGTACGGCATCGTCAACAGACGTATACTGTCGGGTAAGGCATCATCAACAGACGTATACTGTCGGGTATAGTATCTTCAACATAATTGAGTAATGTTCAGATGGCTAATATTCGATTGTCACACTGCGTAATTTTTATGCCGTGTTCATTTTCCCAGGCGGCACAACTACGTTAAGCTCTGTTTCATTATTATGTTTAATTCAATATCTAAAGTTTCTCTTCGTCAATTGCATTTTTTTGAACACCGTCGAACTTTTAACGGCATATTCCGGGTTAAAATGTGCGTATTTTGACATTAATTTAATTAACAAATGGAAACAAAATACCAACAGTAGATCGATCCGGCATTGTGTTCAAATAGAGTAAAGAGAGGCCCATCAAAATATGGGAAGCGCTGGTTTGTTTTTAACATCTGTAGAGGATGTCGAATCTTGAGAAAATTTCAGTTCATATAAATGTTGATATTGAGCGGAATCGAACCATATTTTTGCACTGATTTTCCTCTCAAAGTCTCTGAAATCTAGTAGTAATAGCCGAGGGTTTAATGTCTGCTTACCCAGTAGTGATATCGCAGACACAATCCCGTAATTGGCGACCGACTACTTAATTTGATCACTCTTGGGTCTTATTAAGATCGTTACTGGTCTAAATTGGAATTGATAGTTTAAGACGAGTCTTTAATTATCCCGTCTTCATTTTCCCAGTAGGGGCAGAAAAGTAGGACGTTAAACCCCATTCATTCTATCTTGTATTTATTCTGTTAACCTTTAGGGTCAGGTGTTCTTTAAGAGCAGACGATGATATTAACCACTAATTAGAAAGACGTCTTAAAACAGTCTAGGTAAAGACATAATCAATCACACTTTATATCATTGAACAAACTACATCAAGTGTTAAATCATACTCCTATCGGGACTGATTAATTAGCCTTATAAAGATTACTCAATCGTAATAGGAATCGTGATAGTGGAAACCTATCTTTAAAGGAGCTAAGTCGCTAATATTTGGGACCTAGAAATTGACACAAATGGGTCGCAACGCATACAATAATGTTATATGAATGTATATAAATTGATTTGCACTCAATCGTTTCTGTTTTTACTGTAATTTCTAATCAATTAGGTTCGATGACATACGCCTGTATTTTCAATCGAATTTCAATCTCTAGCTTCTGGTTATTCCAGTCTACGCCGATAGTATTTATTGGGCATGCTCTCCAGACAAGAATATAGCGTCACCATTTGACATGACTTGTGGGATATGCCTAGCCTTGTTTTTCGAGTTCCTTATTACACATGGCTCTGAAACGCATTATGGTACACGATTCGTGTACCAATTGTAAAATGTTTATTTTGTCTTAAATATTGGATATCAGAAGGCCATCTTTTCCCGGTAAGATCACAACATGAATGTTGATTTAAACCGACAAATAAATCGTGTTTTCAATGTTGAAGATTTTGGATGATATTGAGTTAGAGACTTAGCTACTTTAATTTCTATAAAAATCGTTGGGTTTCTACACAAATTCCTTGATTCTTTAGGTTTGAATCCATCAAGATTAAATTGTTTTTCACATATATCCTGTGGAATACGAGCTGGGAATACGCCATATAATTATCGACGTGATATATGTGATTTTCATAAATGGTCTTATGCCTTACTCACTGATCCACCGCGACTCACTGGTTGTAAAAACCTTCTATGTGTCTTTTAAGTATTATCATTTGAATGGTTCAATATTATAATCTTGTTAATTACTTTGATATTTATGGTAGGGTACTAGTTAATTATTATCATTTGAATGATTCAATATTATAATCTGGTTAATTACTTTAGAATTTATGGTAAGGTACCAGTTAATCCAAGGACGCCATTTTGCTAGAATATGTGATTCGTTCATGATTAAAGGGAATGATTACTCTTTGTAGGACACCTGGTAACACCTCTCGTGTTCCGGGTTGTTCACACAGTCGATTATAATAGTCCCATAAGTTTTGTGTTGTAGACGAGCGAAACGATCAACTGATGTCGGGGGTTTTCACACAGTCGATTATAATAGTCCTATAAGTTTTGTGTTGTAGACGAGCGAAACGAGAAACTGATGTCGTTTCCTCTTCTCGTATTTATGGAATAACGGGAGCGTGCCATTCGGGAAGTTCACATACTCATGTCATTTTTTTCTGTTTGATCCATTTTATGCGATGTCGAACATGTGTCATTCTGAAAGTTCACGCAGTACATAATCTGGTCAGACACCATATTGGCTTTCCTTTGTCGTTATAGTTCACACCCAGTACGACCCTACACACTTCAGACCACTCCCAATTCACTTGATAACCAGCAACGTATATTTTTTACAACAGTATATCGATATGTCACGTTCCGTTAATTTCTAAACGGTCCTGTTTAAGACCTAAATAGCCATTCACATCGATCGTAGTAGACCAAATTCGTTCTCAATTGATGAACAACATTTAACACATTCTAAACTCTAAAGTACAGTAATAATTGTCCTTTGTTAATTGGAAGAGTTTTTGAACATCCACAGATGGTAACACGTATGTTTTTCTTAATAACTTTATTCGCACAAGTCTTCAGGTGGTCATTAATCAGTAAATTAATGATGTCTATGATTTGTTTATTTATTTTTTTTTCTGCCGACTCTAATTGAAACAGGTAAACCATTACAAACACGGAATTATTTAAGTGATGACGTCGTGTACGTGAACTATAAGTTAATTAATAAGCTTTTAACTAATTTAATTACCAGCCTTCGAAGCGAGTAATTTAATTATACGTACCTAAAACGTAGGTGTATGTTCGGTGAAAACGAAAACACTTATGGCCTTTTTGTTCTGAGCATTCACACAATGTCGCTGGCCCGACCATTAAACGAAAAAAAACAATCTGGTCTACCTATTGAACTAATTATGCGCACTAAAAGCCTGAGAAAAATGAAAGTGAACTGGCACTAATAAATTGGTGTTCGCAGTTCTATAAGTGAGCAGCTAAAGTGTACGAAAAACTACACACGATATGCGTGCGCAGTTATTTAAATGAGCAGAGAGTTATTACGAAGGACTACACACGATATGTCTGCGCAGTTTTGGAAATGAGCAGCGAGAGATTACATATGACTACACACTATATGGATCACCTTTCACGCCACATTTAACACATCAAATAAGCACCAATAAAATAAATGTCGATTTCATGGACATCTCTCAAGTAATTTCTAAAGAATTCAAAACTTAACAAGGTCGTTTACTTTCGCTTCTTATGAAAATAAACATCTCGATATGTCCGTTCATCTGTATCCTCGTGAAACATTAAATCTGTTAGTTCTATGGTGTCCTTTTTACAAGTCATTCCACAACACTAACCGCATTCTGATATAAAGTATTGATGTCAAGGAATTAAAGATGTCGCAATCTTGTTGGTAAACCTTATTTAGCAATTAAAAAGGGTATACGCATTGTTGTTTTCTTTGTAACAAATTTGATGTAACCATTACTGATGTCTGAAGAACTTTAAGCACTTTTATTTTGGAATTTTCTTTGGAATTTATATTTAGATGTTTTTTGAAGGATTATATTGCAGTTGATTTAGATGACAAGGGTAATGTCTATGAATTTCCGTTTACTAGAATTTTCATCGTCTGAGTTTTATCGTTTAGAAGACACTTGAGAAGCGATAATTTAAATGAAAAAAAGTTTTAAAATGCATAAAATGGCTATATATTACAGGCTAGGCTGAATTCTCATGATGAAATTTGATTCAGAATAGAAAAAAAAGACGTGCCGGTAGTAGCACAGATTTATATGACAATAAATTATAATTTTGTTTTCATATATTCACTCTCTGTATGTAGATGTTCAGAATGGCAATTCATGTGATTCAGTAGCAAATCTTTCTTTGATTGGTGTTTGGGATGATCATCACAGATTGAGGACCATGTTTGTAGCGCCTGTTTATGGCATACTAATTTTAGGACTTGTTGTCGGAATTTTCGACCCGTCGCACAATAAAGAAAAAAGTTCATCGAATGGTTGACGTACATTAATAGTTCTGTGATGGTTTTCACCAGATGAAATTTAGCCGTGTTTTCTAATTCTCTATCTTCTTTATTCCAGAAATATGTGACGATTAATGTTATATTCATGGGCAATGTGGTTAACAGAAACGTGAAAGAGACCGTGAGTAGCATCGCTGTTAACTTCGACGTAACTTCGCTCATTTGTCGACGTGTTTCCAACACTCTCCGATCTCCGAAATTCTGTAGTCTTTCGCGGCATCCGTGAGCCTTGAGTACCTGTCGAATAATTAAGATATTAAGAACGGTGATGGTGACGAACGGAACGAAGGAATATATAATAGCATCGACCCACGGCCATGCTTGGTCAACTAAAACTGGGAACGGTGCAGCGGCTTCACAATTCACAATATTTTTACCATCCACCGGTGTGGTGACTAATTCCACAGTAAATAGAAAATGTAGATTAATTGAAAACATTATAACAATTAAAAGAACGATCACTTTCCGAGCTCGGCTAACATTACACATTCCGTTGGCTTTAAATGGAAAACACACGACAATAAACCGTTCGACGGTCACCGCTATGATCAACCATACCGAAAAATCGCTTGAAAAATATCCAAAAACACAAGTCAATTTACACAGCCAATTCGTTAAATCCATAGCATCAATCCCAGTTAATTCGTTAATCCAAATCCGCAACAAACCGATATACAATACGAGACTATCAGCGATAGCCAACGATGCCAGATAAAAATATGTAGACACTTTTAACATCGGTCTTCTACGTAAAATTATGAATGAAAATAAGTTACCAAACGTTCCTAGAATAATTAAGATCGGCGGCACATATAACAACAATATTTTACTTATCCGATATTCAGTATACTGCATCATCGGCCGTTCATAACTTTTAACATGCATCTTGCCACGTCGAAGTATACTCTCTAATGTCTGTTCATCAATACCAGCCGCTGCTAGAACTTTGTGTCTATTACTTGGCGAGAGTTGGTTGATTAGGATCCATATAGCTGTGGCATTCAGCGAGTCGCCGTTTGAGTCGGCGCTGATCGTGCCCATTATGATGCTGTAAATATACAATAATATAAACAATTACAATTTAATAAACTGTGGATTATTATAATAGCTATAAACAATTACAATTTAATAAACTGTGGATCATTATAATAGTTGTATATATAAACAATTACAATTTAATAAACTGTGGATTATTATAATAGTTGTATATATATAAACAATTACAATTTAATAAACGGTGAATTAATATAATTGGGGGTATGAAACAGGTAAAGGGCACATTTTCGAGTGTGTTTGTTTTTGCATTCATAAAAAAAACCCTTTAACTTAAAATGATAAATTTGTTCAAAATTGAGCTTTTACCATTCCAGAGAGAGAGAAAGGGAAATAGGGTTTAACGTCCACTCGACACAAACTAGGTCATTTCGGGACCCGGAGAAAACCCACGAGGTTGGATTTTAACATTCCAATTTTTCACAAGAATACCAAGTGGAGATGTTTACACTCTCGTACCGTACACACAACATAATTCATTATATAAGAAATGCACTAGAATGGGGGGAGGGGGTATGGCCTAGTGGTCTAGAGTGTCGCGCTTCGACCTCTAGCTGGCCGGCCACCTCTGGCTTGCGGTTGTGGTTTCGATCCCTGGTGTGAGCGTGTGTGGCTTGGAAATAGGGGAGCCTCATCAACCTCGTGGGTTTACCCCGGGTACTCCGACTTCTACCCACATGAAAGACCCCTGCGCGTGCGCTAAGATAATAAAAATGAAAATATGTCTGCGATATCACCCTCGACGGAAGCAGACGTTAAACCCTAAAAAGAACAACAACAACATGCTTATCAATGTCAGCTATAAATATTATATTTTTGTTAGAAACGTACATTATTTAAATCATGTAGTAAAAGCGAATAATGTTATATTCAGTATAAGTTTGTAGATTTCTGTATAATGTTTTAACGCAAATTTATTATTTTCTGTATTTTTTTTTATAACAAAAACAGCATATTAAACATTTATTTCGTTTAAAACTAAACGTTATTATAAAATACTCTAAGAACATTCTATATATTTGGAAATTTACTGGAGTTTTTTTTAAATGTGGACGTTATTCATTATCACATAATTTGTACTATACTAAGTGGGTAAGAGGCTGACTCGCTATTCAGGGGAAGCCAACATGGCTCCGTACGCAAGTTGCAATGAGAAGACTACACAAGATATTGAGATCATCAAATAAGATTTAAATGTCTTTTACATTCGTTATACAGACAAATTAATACATGTACTGTTCCCAGCCTTTCAAACTGTCGCCATCATCACAATTATACATATTTATATGCATGGTTTTGACAAATTAATGCACATAAATAATCTCAACCTTTTAAACAGGCGTCGCTATCAAAATTGGAATTCTTTAGATGCACGAGTCGGTTGTAGATTTGACATATTATTATTATGATATAAATGCTGCCATCAACATCCTAATATTAAAAACATAAGAGGAAAGGCTCCATTCGTCCATCTTACTTTTCTGCAGCGACCGGGCTATGAAATGAAATCGGAGTTTCGCGGTCTACTACTTTTCTGCACCGACTGGAAATTTTGCCCGGATAGCTCGCTGTGGCCTACACTTATATCGAATCCGAACTCTTAAGGGAACTTTTAAGTGCATGCCAATGTATACACGGGACCTCGGTTGTTCGTCCTATCCGAACGACTAGACGGCTGTCCTTGTCAGGCTCTCCGTCCTGCACCACTGACAAAGGCAAACCACGCCGCTGTCCAGGCAAAATTTCCCTCATAGCACATTGTGTGCCGTATGCCCGTTTTTATTGGCCCAGTCGGAACAGAACAGTAGTAGGTCGTTAAACCCCATTTCATTTCATTTTATTGAGGTACAAGGATATTGTGCACTTAATTATAACATGCATGAACAACTTGACAGTGTATGGTTTATAATAATTCTTTTGACACAAGTTTAATCAGGTGTGATTACCACCCTCGGGAGACCGTACACTCCACGTTATAAAAATAACCACCAAGAAAACACCCATCAATCTTTAAAGATCTCTTTTGTTTTCTTATGTGGAAATTGTCCATTGACCTAGTAACGAGGGATTTAATGTTCTTTCTTAAATATTGATTTTTCACTAAAATCATGTGATTTGTCCCTTTTAGCTCCGAGTACCTCCTTTAACGTCATACAATCGAGCGTTTCCATGCCACTGACAGAACTGTAAAACGCTCAAGTACATTAACGTACACCTGAATGACAATTGTGCCAGGTAAAGAACTGAATGCTAAATGTGTATAACTTTATATTCTTGATCGAGTTTTTCATTATTGGGCTATTGTTTGTCTTATCTACGGATTGTTGTATGAGGTTTCTTTGTGTGGTGCGCGCACTCTCCTTGCCTTACTATCTGTAACCATTATTATTATTATTATTACAAAATTTATATAGCGCCCCTTTTACAGATGTGTTCAAGGGCACTTTACAGTGTAACAAAAACATACATTCAAAAAGTAAATAACATCAAAAAAGTTAAAAATTCCCAGAGGGAATAAATTACTCAAATAAACGAATATCCAAGCACTGACCCGCTTGTCATGTTGGTAAATTATTCAAATTAACCCCTTATAAACATATATCCAAGAACTGACCCGGTTGTCGTGTGCGTAATTGAGGAGTGTGGGACGGGGGGGGGGGGCGAATCCACGAGACTGCCATTGTTAACATTCGCGTATAGAGACAGGATCTGTACGCTTTTTCTACCATTTTACTCCACACTGCCATATGTGTTTGTATTTCAGCGGCTGTAATGTTTACGTCGCAGACTAGGGTGATGATAATGTATTAATGACGACCATGATGATGATGATGATGACCATGATAATGATGATGACCATGATGACAATGATGATGACCATGATGATGATGATGATGACCATGATGATGATGATGATGATGACCATGATGATGATGATGACCATGATAATGGTGACCATGATGATGATGACCATGATGAAGATGATGATGATGATGATGACCATGATAATGGTGACCATGATGATGATGACCATGATGAAGATGATGATGATGATGATGACCATGATGATGATGATGACACATCCTCAAATCTTCATCAAAATATAAGGGGGTTGGATGGCCCAATGGTTAGCACGTGCGCGCTGTATAATAAGGTCTGTCATTGAGTCAACTGTGTGGTTTCGAATCCCCGCTTGTACGTGTCAAGGGGTATGGTTGCCTGCCCAATCCCGATGGATTTCTCCGGATCCTCCGGATTCCTCCCACTGCTAAAGACCCCTACGCACGAGCGAATTATTGAAATAAAATTGAACCATATGTTACTCCCGAAATGACATAGTTTGTGTTGAATGGAAATAAGAAAAGTGTGTATGATGGTATTAATGATGATGACGATTTTAGTATTAGTTAAATACGAAGCTGTGGATTATCATAATAATTAATCGGAATCTCTAAACAAACAGAAAACTCGACATCGAATCTGTTAAATTGGATATGTATTATATTACATTGTCTTGCTTTGTTTCAGCTGTTAAATACGAAAATACGGAAAACTAATTATATTCTAGGTACGGCCATTAGATATAAATACCACGAGTTGAATATATGATCAGGTTTTTACAGACACTTCTTATCTTTTATCTTACTAATATATGAATAATAAATCTTGTAAAAGACGAGTCAATCAAGCTTTAAGTTATTATGGGTTATTGTAATGACAGTTGATGTTATCGCTTGACATGATGTTATTCGCTCAGGGAAAACCGTCTTGTAGTCAGAGAAACTTGTTTAATTCATGTTGCTAGTCATAGGACAATATATTCACGATCTTTGTGGGATACCGTTTAAAGGACAATATTGGTGTCAGTCATATGTGATAGAACTGGTTAAACAAGTTCCAAATATAATTTTAACACAGAGATCATTGCTACGATAGATGCGTAATGCAGGTTTCAACAATCGGAAGTGACGAATAGTTAGCACGTGCGCGCTGTATCCTACGGGCTGTCATTGAGTAAGCTGGCGTGGTTTCGAATCCCCGGTTGTACGTGACAAGGAGTAGCGTCGCCTGTCCAACCTTGCGGGTTTTGCTCCGGGCCCTCCTATTGATAAAGACCCCTGCGTGCAAGTGAATTATTGAAATAAAGTTAAACCATGTGTTAATCCGAAATTACCTAGTTTGTGTCGAGTGGACGTTAAACCCCATTTCTCTACCCGTCTCTCTCTCTCTCTCTCTCTCTCTCTCTCTCTCGCAGACATATGTTTCCCAAAAAACTTGTCATAATAGGCCAGTCGTAATTTAGAGGCCCAGTCTGGTGACTCTATGAAAGACAGCGTGAACGGGGAAATGCGGGCGGTGAAATCAAATGTTTAATCTGAAATCTTTGAGAAGTGGACCCACGATAATGATAAGTTTTACGTTATTTCACTTAAAGCTATGGAGATCGGTGGCTAGATGAATGAAACAAGTATTATCTTTCAGAACTAGGTTTGCACGCAGGCAATGAGTTCGATGAGCTACAGGTCAGGGTTTACACGCAGTCAATGAGCTCGATGAGGTGTATTCCACTGTTTAGGGTTAACACGCAACTAATGAGCTCGATGAGGTGTATTCCACTGTTTAGGGTTAACACGCAACCAATGAGCTCGATGAGGTGTATTCCACTGTTTAGGGTTAACACGCAG